AAAGGGCTAGTATCCAAAATCTATAAAGAACTTATCAAACTCAACACCCAAAGAACAAGTGATCCAATCAAGAAATGGGCAGAAGTGGTAGCTTCTTAAAAGTTAGTTGCAATGTGGAATCTGAAACCATACCAATGAACTTTTCAAATTGTCCTTTTAAGTTCATTATCCTACCTTGCACTTCAAATGGAAAATTTCTGATGTTTGATCATATATCATGCATTGGCCACTTGGAAAATATTGGTTTGTTATTATAGGCAGCTTTTTAAAATGTTGACACATTTGATACTCAACATTAAAAAAAATCAAATTCGTTCATCTCGCTACCAATGACATTAGATATTTTTGCAAGTCAGATGGTCTAAGGGAAGCACACATTAATTGTGGTTTGGAGAATAACTTTAGTATATGTGCTGCCGAAGCGAGCACTGGAGAATAACTTTAGAATGTACATGCCATTAGACCCAGGGAGCCCACTAAAATATATTTTCTCAAAGGGATCATGGCACAAATATGTAAAAAGTGGGAAAAGTATAAGCACAAGGGTATTCATCACAACATTGTTTATAATAGAGATTGGAAATAACCAAATTTAGATTTCCTTAATAGATAAATTGTTAAATAAAGTATGGGACTACAAAAAAATTAATTATTTTACACCCATTAAAATATTCTGTGAGTGTGTATATATATATTTATATATATATTTGCAAATATATATATTTAATGGCATGAAAAAATGTACATACTCTATTGTGGAGTGAAAAATTTTGTTATGAAACAGCATGATGGCATGATCACATTTACAGAATTTTTGTGTACATGTTGGCATAGTAGATAGATAGGTAGATAAAGTTTCAAAGGAGATCCTCCAAAAAGTTAATCATAAATATCTCTGGGTAGAGAGATCTGGGGGCTTTGGGTTTTTTTTTTTTTTTAGTATTTTGATTGTTTAATTTTTGTTAAAAGAAGCATGTATAAATTTTTATAATCAGAGAAAACAATAGGTTATTTTCTTTCTAGAAAATGAAAGCTTTTTTTTCTAAAATTAGAAAATGTGCATGTGTTTTAATTTGACAGTCAGTGTTGGCAAGAGTTACTTGCATAAAACAAGGTGTTGCTTATGAGCTACTAGTAGAAGTATAATGATCCTGACAAGCAATTTGGCATAAAATTCTTCAACTTTATATACTTGCTAACTTAGTTTACCTCTATTATTAAATCCTATAGAAATACTCAGAGATATCCTTAAAGACCTGTGTAAAACATAAATGCCAGACAATAAAAAATAATTTGAACGGATTATGACGTACCCATTGGGTAGACTACCATGCAGAGAATGCTCTGAGTCACTTAGATTTTTGTCTGTTCGAATGGCTATAGTTGCATGCTGCTGTGATTTGGGTAAAGAAGGAACAGGAAGTTGAGAACCGGGGATGGGAGGGGGGGATAAGGATTTCTTCCTTTCTTCTCCTTGCTGCTGCTTTGACCTCCACTATTCTTTGTCTCTACTTACCACCACCTGGTTGTTAGTGGTCCATGATTCTAGGTGTCACTTAGAATGACAGGTCCACATTTCTAAACTTTTTTTGCAATATTTTATTTTTGAAACTCAGGAATAGTCTTTCAGAAAACATTAAATCAAAAAGAATAATTTTTAACCAATTATTTTACATTATAAAAAGGTATACAAACTAGTGTGTGTATGCCAGAGATACTCATAGATACCATATATTTTCCATTCAGAAAATAGAAAGAATTAAATATTTACTAGTTGTATGTCTTTCTTTTAAGAATATAATTTTTTTCATTTTTTTCTTGTAAAACTACTGAAAATTATTTTAAAATACATTTCCTAAATTCACTTAAGACATTTTTTGAATAGTTTTTCTTTATATTCAGTTTAAGTTTCTGTTCACTTAAGAAAACCTGTAATAGAATCTAAAGAGCACTCAACATGTGATCCAAGAGACATGTGTTCTCAGGGCTAACAGCTAGAAAAATTCCTCATGAGTGAAATTAAATCTCTGATCTACAGGATCTCCAAGTCTTTCTCCAACTTCATAGTAAAAGAGAAAATCCCATTCTGTCCAAAGGATGACCTTTCTTTTTCTTTGAAGTAGAATTCTGTAATCCCAGGTTGACGGAGATAGAATAATATGTGTTTTGTAAACATATGTTTGTGTTTTTTTAATAAGCAAAGGATCTATATTGCATTGCTAATAAAAAACTGTCAGTCTTTAGTATTAGAATGTATTTTTTAAACCAAACCCAGCTCTGAAGACAAGTATTATTATTATTATTATTATTTTACAAGTGTTCTTAATGCATCGACAGAAGCCATCAGTTTTGACTTGGCTATGCCAGTTCAGGAGGAGAAGAAAACAGAAGACATAACATTCAAATAGCAAAGAAGAAAATAATTTTTTATCTCCATCATAACTTCCATCTTAATCTTAGATAATTTTTCATCTTAATTATGAGATGATTTTTGTTGTCCTAAAATATTCCTATACCTCAGTTATAAAAAGACAAGTACTGATTGCCCACGAAATGTGTAATGACACTTTCAACTTTTGAAAGAGCTGCCTTTATGGTATATGAACCTGAACATACTGAGGTAAAATGTTGGTTTTATAAAATTCTAGTATTAGTAAAATGGAAGCAAACTTAATTTTTGTTCCATTGGAAAAAATAAGGCTACTTATTATAAATAAATGAAAAAGTATGCACTATTGTCATAAAATGTTAAAATCATACATGTATTTATATGCTCTAAAAGAATCTGAATACTATCCAGGAAATAATTTTTCCAAAAAGTGCTTTGTTTTATATTAATGCATGTGGATGGAAGCATGCTTTTTTTCTTTTTTCTAATACCTTTGCTTTTATATTTTAATACCAAACTACTTTGCTTTTTCAGCCTTATCTCTTATTTTTTTGGTCTCTTGTAAACTTTTATTTATTTATTTAATTTAAATTCAATTAACATATAATGTATTACGAGTTTCAGAGATGGAGGTCAGTGATTCATTAGTCTTATATAATACCCAGTGCTCATTATCTCTTACAGTGTCTTACTGAAGAAAAGTTCATGCAACCCTATACAAAGTGTAATGGGATGATGTGGGGAGGGAGTTCACAATGAATTCATTACATTTACATTTACATTTTAGCACTTTATATTTACATAGTTATTTACATATAATGTTTCATTGTTCATCAAAATAATTCGATTGTGCAAATATTTCAATGATCAGATGATAACACTATTGCCCAGAGAGACTAAGAGTTGATAGTTAAGTGGTGAATTTGAAAAAAGCATCCAATTCTCCTGACCTCTTATCCAATGTTGTTTTCACTACCATATTAAGGGAGGGGATCATTAAACTCAGATACTGGAGGCTATCCTGTTGACATGAATCCTTGATCATAATTGACCTAAATTACTCTGATCTACAACTGTTTAAATTAAAATTCAACAAATAATTGCTCAACTTCACTTTATGCTGACTACAGAGACTTGGCCTTGGAGGCCTGAAAAGAGAATCTATTACTCAGAAAATAAAGAAAAGCTTTTATTGGATTGAATTAAAGTTATTCATTTCTTTTTTCTTCTTTAAAGATCTTTTCATTGATTGTTATTTGAAAAAAATCCCTTAGGAAATTCTTCATAAATGAATAAGGTTAATTTTGTGATAAAACTAAGTTCTGATACTTACTTTTTTCCTCCTTTACAGTGCTTGGGACTCCCTCTTCATGTCTACTTTTACTTCATCTACACACCCATTACCCCAAGTGGAGATTCTCATTCCTTCTACCCTTTCATCTCTGTTCTGCTCACTTAAGGTAGGCTTACTGCAAAGACACATTTCAACCTTGTGGTGCGGTATTTAAAGTCAAGATTTGAAGAATAGTATAATGTATTTAACATTCTTCCCGTGTTGATTCTGACTTTATAAGCATATATTGAGCTGAGAACATTTTTATATTAGTGCAATTTTTAATCAGTTCCTTCATGCTCTTTACCAAAATCTTTTGAGATTTTACTATTTGTTCTAGGTGCTGGGAATTAAAAGATGATTAAGATCCAGACCTTGATCTTAAGAACTCCTTGGGTTGAGTATAATCTTCCAGTTTGCGTCTATTGGCTTGTTTATTTTTGGCCTATTTCCAGATTTTTTATGAATTTTTTAGTACGTCTTTGATTTAGCCATCACTCTACGACTCTGACACTCCACACAATGGAATTTCACTGATTACATTAAATTGGAAGCAAAGAGATGGGTCAGATAGATTGCGAATACTTCAGGGGTACTAAAAGCAACCTTAAAGAAGAATTGATTGCTTATACTGATTCAGCATTGTCAAATGTGGAAGACTTAAAATTTGGAGGGCCATAATTAACTCTGTACGAAAAAAATTATAATTAATTTTCTGACATTCAATCTGATTGGTTTAATGCTTTTTTTTTCTTTTTTCAAAATTGGTTGGAATTTCCGAGCCACTATCACTACAAAACTTGTCTCTTCTTAGTTCAGAGGGATATTTTGAAGAGCTTTATATAAAATATTTCATGCACTTATCAATACTAAGGTTTTTCTTCATAAGCATTTTTTTAGGTTAGCTGATTAAATATTAAAATCTTATCTAGCTGTGAAGTAGGATTATTTTCCATGATTTCCAAAGCATGGTTATTGAAAACAGTGAAACGACATTTCATTGGCAAAGAGCTATAAGGATTTGAATCTTTAATCAAGAATTGCTAAATGCTTTAGTTCATAAATTGTTTATGAGTTAACCAGCACTCTCCACCCAAATCTGTTCCACTTGAGTGTAAGAGCTGATTCTCTGCTTACAGTATCCGAGACAGGACGGCTTCTATGGTTCACATATGACTGAGGCCAAGATGAGATGAGAGTGATCTGGACATGTAAAGAAATGCTTACACATTGTTGGCATGGGTCCACTCGAAGTTACTGGGTTTTCACTTGAGAAGAAGTCTGGAAATGTGTTTTAAATGACATTCTATCTTCTCCTCTGCTTCTCGTTTAAAAACCTTGCCTGTCTTTTATAGCTGATGTAACAATAAACTTTTCCAGGAAGACAGGCAGACAAGCACAGGGTTTGATTCGCAGCCAGCTTTGTTCTGACACAGTTGTACGAGGGCCATATTCATGAAGCTCATGCCCCTTTTCTGGCCCTACTACATACAGGATTCCAAGTTTTTTTTTTTCCATGTAGCCGTGCAGCTTCAGCCCCACCAGCAGGCTGGAGTCTTTATCCACCTGACAAAAGAGATGTCTAGTTGACTCTGGAATGTTAGCATGTCATTTCTAACTATGATGATACCAAGAATCAGGCAGCTGGAGATACATACGTAGAAGGAACATTGTAAGCTAAATATAGGGGCATGGAAGTTTTTTCTTGGCCACACATTGGAAGGAATGATATATCCTATCTTTAATGTCAAGATAGTGCATTCTTTCATTTAAGTATTCAATCAGTTATTTAAAAAAATAATTTGCAGAACACCATTCACTGTCTCTGTGCTAAGTGCTTGGTATATGGAAGACATGTTTTATTTCTATAGGCCATAGACTCATAAACAATTAATTATGAGAGTGATGAGGAGGATATGCCTGAAGATAACAAAGAGGCAACAGTAAACAACACTGATCTCAGGGAGACAAAATTGTAGAAGCAGGAAAGGCTCCACAGAGGAGAGAAGTTTGGCATGAACATGTGGCATTTTTGTTAGATTTATTTGTATCTGTTTTTTATTGTCTCCTAAAATGAAGGAAATTCATCTTAATTTAGCATTCATATTTTCTATTTTTTTAACATTTGTATTTTTAATTTACATAAGTGATCTCTTTTAATTCCCATGACAATGTCTGATACGTGTGTGTTATTCCTTTTTACATATGAGAAAGTTGAGCCTCAGAAATTAGGTGACTTACTCAAGGTCACACAGCTGGTAATTGGAGAAACTGGAGCTAAAAATACTCCCTTGGCACCAGTTCTCCTGTTTTTTACCAACCCACTGCCTCTATTTGGTGGTATTTTGGCTTCATAGCCATAATATTTTATGACTTAAAGTCAGCTCAAAACCGATTATCCAATTTGATTTTGATCTGCCCAGATGCTAAGGAATTTTCCCCTGCTTTTGATTGCAAGTATTAGAGTATTTGTATAAAGAAAAATTATACAAGTAATGTTTAATAAGTAATTTTTTAATATAAATTTTATGTATTTAACATACAGTGCAATTTTGGTTTCTGGAGTAGAATTCAGTGATACATACAATACCCGGTACTCATCATAACAATGCCCTCCTTAATACCCATCACCCATTTAGTCCATCCCCCATCCACCTCCCTCCCTCAACCCTCATTTTGTTCTCTATCTTTAAGAGCCTCTTATGGTTTGTTCCCTCTCCTTTTTTTCTTTTCCCCCTTCCCATATGTTCATCTGTTTTCTTTCTTAAATTCTACATATGAGTGAGATCATATGGTATTTATCTTTCTCTGACTGACTTATTTCACTTAGCATAATACACTCTAGCCCCATCCATGTCATTGCAAATGGCAAAATTTCATCTTCTGATGGTTGAGTAATATTCCATTGTATATATATTGCATCTTCTTTATCCATTCATCACTCAATGGATATTTTGGCTCTCTCCATAGTTTGGCTATTGCCGACAATGCTGCTGTAAACATTGGGATGCATGTACCCCTTCGAATCTGTATTTTTGTATCCTTTAGATAAATACCTGCTAATGCAATTGTTCTATTTTTAACTTTTTGAGAAACCTCCATATGGTTGTCCAGAGTGGCTGCACCAGTGTGCTTTCCCACCAACAGTGTTAGAGGGTGCCTCTTTCTCTACAACCTTGCCAACGCCCCTTGTTTCTTGTGTTGTTAATTCTAGCCATTCTGACAGGTGTGAGGTGGTATCTCATCGTGGTTTTGATTTGCATTTGCCTGTTGATGAGTGATGTTGTGTATCTTTTCATGTGTCTTTTAGCCATCTGGATGTCATCTTTGGAAAACAAGTCTATTCACATCTTTTGCCCATTTCTTAACTGGATTGTTTGTTTTTCTGGGTGTGGAGTTTGATAAGTTCTTTGTAGATTTTGGATACTAACCATTTATCAGATAAGTCATTTGCAAATATCTTCTCCCATTCCATAGGCTGCCTTTTAGTTTTGTTGATTATTTACTTCATTGTGCAGAAGCTTTTTATCTTGATGAAGTCCCAATAGTTCATTTTTGCTTTGTTTCCCTTGCCTCTGGTGACACATCTAGTAAGAAGTTGCTATGGCCAAGGTCAAAGAGATTTCTGCCTGTGTTCTCCTCTAAGATTTTGGTGGTTTCCTTTCTCACATTTAGGTCTTTCATCTGATTTTAATTTGTTTTCATGTATCGTGTAAGAAAGTGGTCCAGTTTAATTCTTGTGCATGTTGCAGTCCAGTTTTCCCAACACCATTTGTTGAAGAGACTGTCTTTTTTCCACTGGATATTCTTTCCTGCTTTGTTGAAGATTAGTTGACCGTAGAGTTGTGGGTCCATTTCTGGGCTCTCTGTTCTGTTCCATTGATCTGTGTATCTGTTTTTGTGCTAGTACCATACTGTCTTGATGAATATAGCTTTGTAATATAGCTTGAAATCTGGAATCATGATGCCTCCAATTTTGTTTTTCTTTATCGGAACTGCTTTGGCTATTCAAGTCTCTTGTGGTTCCATACAAATTTTAGAATTGTTAGTTCTAGCTTTGTGAAAAATGCTGGTGGTATTTTGATAGGAATTGCATTAAATGTATAGATTGTTTTGGGTAGTGTAGACATTTTAACAATGTTTGTTCTTCCAATTCGTGAGTATGGAATGCTTTTCCATTTCTTTGTGTCCTCTTCAATTTCTTTCATAAGTGTTCTGTAGTTTTCCAATCTTTTACTTCTTTAGTTGGATTTATTGCCATGTATCTGACTCTTTTTGGTGCAATTACAAATGGGATCAATTCCTTGATTTCTTTTCTGCTGTTTCATTATTGGTGTATAGAAATGCAATAGATTTCTGCACATTGATTTTATATCCTGTGACTTTGCTGAATTCATGTATGAGTTCTAGCAATTTTTTGGTGGAGTCTTTTGGGTTTTCTACAGAGGATCATGTCATCTGCAAGTAGTGAAAGTTTGACTTCTTGTCAATTAGGATGCCTTTTATTTCATTTTGTTGTGTAATTGCTGAAGCTAAGACTTCCTATGTTAAATAGTAATGGTGAGAGAGGACATCATTGTCTTGTTCCCGACCATAGGGGAAAGACTCTGTTTTTCCCCCATTGAGGATATTAGCTGTGGATCTTTCATATATGACCTTTATGATGTTGAGGTATGTTCCATCTATCCCTTCTCTGTTGAGGGATTTTATCATGAAAGGATGCCATATTTTGTCAAATGCTTTTTCTGCATCTATTGACAGGCTTGTATGGTTCTTATCCTTTCTTTTATTAATATGGTATATCACATTGATTGATTTGCAAATATTGAACCACCCTGCAGCCCAGGAATAAATTCCACTTGATTGTGGTGAACAATTTAATAATTAATATAAATAAATAACAAATTAATAATTAATAATTTAATGTACTGTTTAATTTGATTTGCAAATATTTTATTGAAAAATTTTGCATCCATGTTCATCAGGGATATTGGCCTCTAATTCTCCTTTTTATTGGGGTCTTTTCTAGTTTTGGAATCAAGGTAATGCTGGCTTCATAGAACGAGTTTGGAAGTTTTCCTTCCATTTCTATTTTTTGCAACAGTTTGAGAAGAATAGGTATTAACT